GTCGCAAATCTCCCAACCTTATTTCCGCGATCCCGACGGTTTTAACAAACAAAAAAAAAATTATTCATTACAATTATTTTCACGATTTAAATTATTATTATTGGCTCTTTCCCCTTCCCTCCTCTCCTCTCCCCTCTTTGGAAAACCGGAAAACGCTCTCGCGTTAACGTATTTTTTTTTTTATTTTAAAAAAAGTGAAAGCGTAAAAAAAAAAATCGATTATTTTCGATTACTATCGATAAATTCACACGCGAACCAACCTTAAATTTTTATTCATAAAAAAAAATTTATTATTATTAATAAAAATAAAAAAAACCGTTCCAATTTTTTTATTTTCTTTCTTTCTTTCTTTCCAGTAAATAAATTAAATTGTTTAATTAATTAATTTTCGTGACGTTGAACATTTTTTTTTTTTTATTATTAAAAGTGTTTCAATTTGTTGGCGACATTGAGAGAAACTTAACAAAAAAAAAAAAAAATCTCGACCAAATATATCCATTTGTGACAGTTGTTAACGCTTAAAGGGATCAATTAATGGTGGTGGTGGGATAACAACAACAACAACAACAAAACGTTGGCAGCATACCACATGCCAACTGTTTTCCCACACACGTGAAAATAAATTAATTGATTTTAATAATAATAATAATAATAACTCGTGTTAAAAAATTTAATTTTATTCAATTTATTAAATAAATCATTCCTACCCGCCTTTGTTCTTTTTAAAAATAATTGTTATCTATTTCCGCATCGTAAAAATAATAATTTAGATGAGGATTTAGAAAAAAGATGGCGATGGTAACAAACAAAAAAAATTGTCTCAAACAAACAAACAAACAAACAATTTTTTCCTTTTCTCAAATTCGATTTCAAAAACACACGAAAAATAATAAAAAAATAAAAAACCTGTTGCGTTGAGCAAGAAATTTAAATTTTTTTTCGAAAATTATGTAAATTATAAAAATCTAGAAAAATTTTTTAAAAAATAAATCATAACCGTATTCTGTCGAGTTTGTAACGTGTTGTTTGTGGTTGTTGTTAACCATTTTTACCGAATAATAATTTTAAACTAGATAAATTTCGTAATTTTCAAAAACATTTATTTACAAACAAATTTTTCGATTATAAAAAAAAATAAAAATAAAATAAAATAAAACGTGGAAGCAACCATTTTTTCATTCTTTTTCCACGTTTTTCTTTTTCGAAATCGAAAAAACGTTCGCTCCGAACGCGGAAAACAAACCGAACGTAAAAAAACGGAAAACAATCGCAAAAAAAAAAATTTTAATTTATCGTGACGTCATTACATTTGTTTTCATTTGATTACGTCAATGATTCTCAACCTTCTAGAATTATCTTTTCAAATTTTTTTTTGCTAAACAAAAAGGTTATCGTAAAGACAATATGGCGACGCAAAACATTCCGACGACAAATATAAAAAGTATGACCGAAACCTAATAACCACCGGAAAAGGGAGGGAAAAAAAAAACCTGAACAATTTTCCATTTAATAATAATAATAATAATAATAATCAAAATGCGACAAAAAAAAATTTTGTAATCGTAATTACAGTGGGGAAAAACAAATATTATTAGTAATGATAATAATAATAATAATAATAAATTATATATTTCTCGTTAAAAAAAAAAAAAAATTCGAGTCTCGAAATCGTTTTTTCTTTTTTTTTTTAGGTCGAATTTTCGGGCGTGACATTTACTGACCAAAAAATTGTCACGCACACGCGTAACATCGAACCTCCCCCTCCTTTCTTCCCGCCCTCGCCCCCCCCCCATATCGAAAAAAAAAACCAAAAAAATTAATAATTTTATCCTTTTATTAATAATAAAAAATAAAACCGTCGGTTTCTACGCGAATAAACATAAATATTTCCTTCGGTAATCGATTTTATCGATAAGCGATATATCGATATCAATACGGAATTTAATCGATATTACATTAATTAAAAATAATAAATTATTATTTATTATTATTATTATTTTTTTTTTTTCATTTTATCGAGAAAGAGAGAGAGAGAGAGAGAGAGAGAGAAAGAGAAATGAAAATCAAGATCAACTTCAAGAGCAACGAGTTTTTTTTTCTTTTTTCTCTCTCTTTGTCTTTCTCTTTCTGTCTCTCTCTCTCTCTCTCTTTCCAACCACTTCGAGAGGCCAAAAATTTATTTAATTCCTTCAATGCTAAATAATGACGCAATGATAATGAAATCGTGGTTGATTCCTTGAAACAAAAAAAAAAAAAAAAACGGGGGGCGGGCATTGATTATTATTCTCATTCTCCGTTTAATTTTTCCTGTCCATTCCTTATTTTTTTTTTTTTTAAATTCCCTTCACAAACTCCCACTTTTATTTTTTTTCCTTCTTCTTCTTCTTTCTACCTTTCCTCTTTTCGTTAAAAAAAAAAAAAATCTCGTAAATGTTTTATCCTTTAAAAAAAAAAACAAAAAAGTGAACTAAATTCAATTCAAGGTTTTCCTTTTTTCGATTCCAGAAAATTATTTTTCAATTCGCATTAAACTCTGGAAATCAAGAATTTCATTTTTTTTTTGGCTTTCCTTATTCGCCCCCCCCCCTTTTTTTATATAAAAATATTAAAAGTTTTTTATGTTGTACCCGCGCGCACACTGCGAATTTCATAATAAATCTAACGACTTAAACATTTTCCATTTAGTTTCATGCTTTTAATCATGCCCGCCAACAAAATTTGCTAAGTTTGATGGATCACTGCTGCCACCATCATCATCCCCCCACCACCACCACACCTTCTCATATATAATTTTTTTTTAAAACAAAACAATCAATCGAAACACATTTTTTTTGTCCGCAACCACGATAACAAGGAAAAATCGATCGATTTGAATTTTATTTACTTTTTAGAAAAATATTTAATCTATTTCTATCTCGTAAATAATTTATCAAGTTTTTTTTTTTTTTTTTTGAATTAAAACAAACGAAACAAACCAAACCGACCTTGATCGTTTAAGAAAAAAAAAAAAAAAACGTTTATACGATTTTATTTTTCCCCTTTTTCGGAAACCTAGAAAAACTCGATAAGCCGACCAAAATCAGCAAAAGTACTTCGGGGTCAATGTAAACGACATTCATTAATTTTTAATTATCAATAATAATAATAATAATAACACCAACACCACCACCACCACCACCCTAACAGTAAACATAATATTTTCATCGTAATATTAATTAATTCCAAAAAAAAAATAATAATAATAATAACAAAAAATACGACATGAAAGGGAAAAACTTTTTTTTTTTCACTTTTTCGTTACATTTTTTCCAAACGACCTTCACATCGTTGTTTATTACATACATTTTTTTTTTTAACGCCTTTTAAAAGTTTTTTAATACATAAATATTAATAATAATCGATTAGAAAAAAAAAAAAGAAAAATTACGTAAAAATTTCACGTTAAAAAAAATTAACATTCATCATATGTATATATTAAATGTTATTCTACATTAACAAAAACCTATCATTATCACTAGTTTTTTTTTTTTCGGAAATGAATTTTTTTTTTATGTTGGTATTACACAACCGAATAATAACAACAACAACAACAATTCGTGTGTTGACAATTGTTAAAAATAATCCGGATTTAAAAATAAAATTTTTTTTTTTTTTTTTTTTTTTCGACTGGAAAGAATAAAAGGGAAATACGTGAGAAAATTTTACTTGAAAAAAAAAAAAAATTATTACGGTAACATTTCGATTTGTTATTCGACGGAGGGATTGGGGAGAGACTGGGGAGGAAGGAACTCAAACTCGCCACATATACATTAAAAAAAGGGACCGGCAAACCTGATTTCAGCAATTGCTTAACGCGTATCTCATTAATAAAATTTAATATTACGGTAAGAAAAAAAATCAAATCAATTTAAGGGATTCCATGCGCGCGTAAAAAAAAAAAAAAAAAATCCGTGGGATTTAAAAATAAGTTACCCAATTTTGTCTCTTTTTCGACCCTCGTGAAAATTCCAGGAAAAATATTTTTCTTGCTCAATTAAAACCAGTTTTACGACACACACGCACACACACACACCGATACATGCGAGCATTAATGAGAGAGAGAGAGAGAGAGAGAGAGAGAGAGAGAAACGAATTAAGCATTATCCGCGGTTCGAAAAAACGAGAAAATTTTTCATACGAATTATAAATATTTTAACCTAATAGTCATTTCCGTTTTACTAAATAAATAAATAAATAAGTAATAAAATAATAATAATAATAATAATAATAATAATAACGAAACGAATCAATCCGCTAACGTAATAAATTTTTTTTTATCGTAATTTTCAAGTTTTTAAAGTCTAATAAATTAATTACCACCTTTTAATGATACAATTTTTATTTATTTTCAAGCATTAAATTTCAAAAAAAACCGTTTCCCCTTCTCTTCACCTTCCCCTTCTCTCTACCCCTCCCATAAAACCGATAAATAATAATAATAATAAAAACAAATGAGGTTTTTTTTTTTTTTTGCAATCGTTAGATCACAAGACGATAAATTTACATTTTTTTTTTTTTTTTACACGGTTTCAATTAATTTGACCGTTTTACGGTTTGCTGATCATCATCATCATCATCATCATCATCACCATTGTTACCATTGTCACGACCGCTATTACCATCACCACCACCACCACCACCGCCACCTTTTCATTGATCGTTTTTTAATATAAATGATTTTAACATTAAAAATGCGACTAATAAATTATCATTAATAAGTAATAAAAATTTTATTTATTACTTTAAAAAAATTTGTAAGGTGTTGCGTTCGACAAACAGCAACAAACGACAAACAAAAAAAAATTTCGTACGACATCTCAAACTTTAAAGCGCAAAAATTTTAATACATTGGATAATTATTAATTATCTGATAACAATAAACATTAGGAGAGGGAGAGAGAGAGAGGGAAACAAGTCTTGTTCTAACAAGCGAATCATTTATAAACGTGTTTGTTCGACTCATGTCGAACAAGTGTTTATCCAGTTTCGTACTTTTTTTAATGTTAATCGTTAATCTTTTTTTTTGTTGTAGGGAGCAATATCTTTTCAACGTTTTCGAAGTCATTATATCAACTTTGGAATCGAAACTTCAAAGAATCGAAAATTTAGACAAAGCCGTAGAACATCTCATGAGAAGAATAGAATCCATCGACGGGAGAGTCACAAACAACATTCTCAAAACGGATTCTATAATAACGAAACTTCGAGTTCTGGATCAAAAATTATTTCAAACGACTCAGAGTAACGAAATAAAAGGTGGTAACAAATTGAAAGATGGCGATAATGGCCTCGATCAAAGGCTTACGACGCTCGATAAGAAAGTGAATGATATAGATAAAAAATTAGCGGGATTGAAAACCCAATTGGAACAAAATGTGCTTTCCGCTGATGATATTAAAGCGGAAGCCAGCGAAAAGAAACCCATACATATGAATTTGCTCGATGCTTCGAAAGCTATCGGCAACGAAATTTCCAACCAGGTGACAAAAGAAGTCAAATCCGGATTGGAAAACCTAGAGAAAAAATTCAATTACCAATTAAACAATCACAGAGACAACATTAACAGAATGTTGGTAATGGTGGAAGATATACATTACGCGATCGTCGAACCCAGAATAATGACCAACAAATCAACAGCAACATCAAATACGGGTGCGGCTACGAGCAAAATCGATAGATTGGTTCAAAAAATGAATCCGATATTGAGCGTGAGCGAAAAAATGGACGAAGTTTGGGATGTCGTGGTGGGAACGAAAAGTTCGGTCGACGATTTGGTACCCAAATCCGACGAATTATTAACTCAAACTCAGAGACAAGAAAGAGCCATCAGCAACATTCACACGGATTTGAGATTGAAAACGAACAAAATTATTGAAAATCTTAACCTTGTCGACAAGAGATTAAAAAAACAAGAAGATGAAGTCATTAATCTAGCTACCAGGCCAGTGCCAGCTGAATTTTTGTTAGATCCGACGATTGATAGATTGGTCGAATACGACAACACGAGGTACACGGTAGATTCGGAGCCATCTTCGACTTTGCAACAAACGGAACAACCTTTACCGCTCAGTTTCACGACTCCTACTTCGACCGTTTCTTCCGCTCTTCCGACCGTCGTTTCCACAGCCTCGCCCATCATTCGTGAAAATGGAAATAAAGCCACTCACAGAGGAATCATATTTCCAAGTGTGAAAAACAAACCCTCTCTCAGCAACACGACGTTTACCACAGATGTTGTGGCAACAATTAAAGACGTTAGAGTGAGTAATAAATTATTTTGATTTCGACTCAAACTATCCACCCAATAAAATAGGAAAAACAATTGAAAATCCTATCGAGCAAAGAAAATTTACAGAGCCCAATTACCAACCCTAGCTTTGAGAGCACCATTTCAAAAATACAATTTCCCTTTTATCAACTAAAAAAAAAAAATTCATTCATCCCCGCATAAAATCATTAGGTAACAACAACAACAACAACAACAAACGTGAAAGTTCATATGAATTGCACACACACACACACACACACAAACACAAACGCGGTTAAAAACCTGAGGATACTAAATAAAATGCCATATGCTCAAATATATACGAGTGAAGATGCAAACAAGTTTTTTTTTTTTTTTTTACAGCCTTGATTAACGTTTAAAAGAATGATATGATATGCATTTTTTCATTTTGCTTTTTTTTCTCGCTTTTTTTTTTTTTAAAAATGAAATCGCAATCCTATGTGTGCATTTTCATACCCATAAAAATTAATTAGTCTCCCCTTTGACCTCGATAATAAATGAAAAAAAAAAAAAAATCTTTTAAAATTTTCTAAAGGTAACTTCGAAATCATTTAATTGCCGTCACAAACTATAAAATATAAACGTTCATCTTTAGATGATGGTCTCTCACAAACCGCACACATTGCACAATTTGAAAAGAAAAAAAAAAAAAAAAATTTCCACCGTAATTTTTATACCACATTCGGAAGTGAAAATTGAAATTTTTTATTTTTTTTTTTTGCAAACAATACAACAAAAAAAAATTTTCTAAATTTTTTTCAGGGATTTTCCTGTTCTGATATTTTAAATGCTGGCATGAGAGAATCCGGAGTGTATTACCTTCAAATAAGAGGTACTACATATTGGTTCCTCAAAGTTTATTGCGAGCAGGAAGCAGAAGATGGAGGCTGGACCGTAAGTTAACGATTCGAATTCAATTAAATTATACAAAAAAAATCGATTACCTAACTCGTGCTTTTTAAAAATTATTTTAAAGGTCATTCACAGAAGAGACGATTTCGGAGAACCGCGAGAAAATTTCAATAGAGATTGGAACGATTATAAAAACGGTTTCGGAGATCCGGCTAAAGAATTTTGGCTTGGAAACGAAAACATTTACATGTTGACGAACAACGAAGATTACATACTCCGAATCGAATTGGAAGATTTCGAAGGAAACAAGAGGTGAGTGTGAAAATTTTTTTACCATCAAAATAATCGCATTCGTGAAATAATTATCAATTGTAAAACGTTTGGAAAATTTTTCAACAGGTACGCGCAATATTCCCACTTCAAAATATATTCGGAAGCAGAATATTACAAACTTGAAATCGACGGTTACGAAGGAAACGCGGGAGATTCATTAAACGATCCGTGGTACGGCAGCAACAACAGTCCGTTCTCTACTTACAACAGGTACTCGATTTTTCAATCTATCACAATTATTAATATTATTATTATCATCGAGATGTAACGGTAACGATAACAAACAAATAACAATTTCAGAGACAACGATAGATCAAGTCTCAATTGTGCCTCCATGCTCAAGGGAGGTTGGTGGTGGAAATCATGCGGTCGAGGACTTAACGGTCTTTACCTAACGGATCCGCAAGATATAGCGGCTAGACAAGGTATCGTTTGGTTCAGGTGGAGAGGATGGGACTACACATTGAAAAGAGCTTCCATGATGATAAAACCCAAAGGGATATTGACAAGCACATGACCAAACAGTAATTTCATCGTCGTCCCTCCCAGACGATGAAGACGATGATGATAATGATTATAATGATGATCCTAGCCGTTTTGTTGAAACAACAAAATTTTTTTTTTTTTTAAATAATATTAATGATAATTAAAATTTAATTATTTTATATAGATATATATGTATAAATATGTAAATTTGACTTTTACGGTTTAACGAATAATCGAGAAAAAAAAAAAAAAAAGTCAACCGATAAAAGTTATGACTGCACGGTTATTTACAGTTATATTATTATTATTATTATTTTTCAACAACAATTATACTATTCGTTCGTCAAATACTCAGTGTAGTAATAAAAAAAATTCAGACAAAAACAAACAAAAAAAAAATTAAAAAAGGAAATAAAGGGGAAAAAAAAAAAATTTTTTGATTTTAACATTAAAAGCTTAGTGACTGATAATAAATATGATGATGATGATGATGATGATGATGAAAAACATCGTAAATAAGAAACAAAGAAAAAAAAAAGTGTATATTTACTACCAAAGAAAAGGAAGATTTTTAATAAGCTTACGTGAAAAAAATAAATAAATAAACGATATTGAAAAAAATTAAATGAAAAAATAAAAAAAACTAAAAGCGTATGGATTGGGTTACCAATTTTGAGCAATGAACGACGATTTACTAAAAACATTTATGGTAAGCATTATGCTACCCAAGTACAAGGTAAAGATTGTTTTTTGTTATTTAAAATTAAGTAAATAATAAATAAAATTTTAAAAATTTAAAAAGTTTTCTTTCATTTTTTCAATTTCAATTCCTAACATATCCCAAATTATTCTTCCTAACCGTTTGTTAACAAAAAGCCTTGCATTGATTTGTGTTAACGATTAATTTCAAAAAAAAAACTTTTAATTAATCGAATTAATTTGAAAATTATTTTCCTTACTTTCATTATGTAATATCATTCTCATATCAAAGAAAATCCAAATTTGGAAATAAAAGAACTCAAATTTTTCAAATTATGTTCAAGCCTGATATTATTAAAATCATTTTTTTAGTAATTCGATAAAAGAGATTATAAAATTTCCTTTAAAGTGTAATTGAATTACTCGATAAATTCCTCTCCAAGATCTTTTTTTTTTTTTTTTAAGTTATAATACCCTCCATCTATATGTATATATATAAAATTGATAATAATAATAAATAGTAATGTAAGTAAATCATTTTGAATGTAACTCATGTTAATAAGATTACGTTTTAAGAAATGCAAACTCAGCTTCCAGTCTTTTAAATAGTAAAGTAGTGTTTAATATTGAAATTTTAATCTAACCATTATTTAAAACTTAATACCAAGATTAATGATAAAATTTTTGGAAATATACCAAAATGTGGAAACTAAAACTATTATGTAATTATTTAAAAAATATTAAAAACAACTTTAGTTTCCTTGTAATCGAAGAACATCTAATTCCATATGTAAGATAATACTAATATGTAAAAACTAAATAAAAAAAAATATGAATTTTTTGTGTATTTACCTTTAAATTAAGATTGTTTTAATTTACTTTCATGTTTGGTTACTTCGCATCACAGTTGCATCATTCCAAAAATATTATCTGTAACAAAAAATTAATTTCTTTTTTAAAAAAAAAAAACAAGTATTGTGTAAGAAATTTTTTGAAAGTTTTTTTTTTTTTTTAAGCTGTTTTAAAAATTTAATTTTTTTAAATGAATTTTTTATATTATGACATGCATAAAAAAAAGAATTTTGATGATTCGAAAAAGTAAAACAATCATTAAAATATGAAAAAAAGTTACTTTTTAAACGATAAATGAAATTCAGTTATCTTCCATGTGTAGTTTTGAATGTTGTTTGAGTAATGATTAAATAAATTTTAAAATTGATGTAATAAAATTACAAGTACAATATTCACTGTGAAAAATTAAAGATAGTTTACCATAATAAAATAATAATAAGAGAAAAGAAACACAAAATTAAACATTTTTTTAACAATGGCAAAGCATGCTCAACCATGGTTTATAACAAAAATGGCCTAAAGTTTCTTATAGATATAATCCTTATAATAAGTATATATTATTCATTACTTTGAAAGAAACTAAACAAAAATGAGATGATTTAATTTGGTGATAATCACTAATTTAGCTAATATTAAATTGTTTTAAAATGAATAATAGTAATATAAAAAAAAAAGTTAAATCAAAACCGTTACCGGGAAAAATCCATTCCATTCGAAGATATTCTTACATCATATTTCATAAACTTTAACTATTACTTTGTAAAAACAAGCATAATCGTTTTTCTTCCTTTTTTCAATTTCAACCATTTAAATAAATCATTTCACACAAAAGAAAAAATTTACAATATTTAAAATTGCATTTTGACTTAATGCATAACAGTAAAAACGATTTGATGAACTTCAAACTCTCACTGCTGCCAACATTCTCCAAGGTCAAGTTTGTCACGCTATAAAACTTACCGCCAAAATCTTAGACTGACTCATTATGAAATTTATTAAATATTATGTATAATAATAATAAAAATGAATCAATTTGTAATTTTTTAAACGCAAATTATTAAATTAAAAAAAAAAAATATGGATAAAAGGCTTAAATAATAACATCAACTCAAATAAACTCTACAAAAATTTTTATTGTTGATCGATATAATTATTATTTTTACATATAAAAACTTATTTAGAAAAAAAAAACATTTGATTTTAAGTGATTGAAATTTTATTTTAATTGTGTTACATAATAATAAATAATAATTTTAAATAATAAAGTTTTGCTAGGCTTTAGATTTATCTTTTTTCCCTTCTTTTTCTAAACAAACTTCTTTAGCCCTTTCATAAATTTTAACCAATCTCTGTTCTCTGGCTAAAATTTTCAACAATTCAACTATTAATGGAAGATAATTATGCTTCCTTCTTATATTTTCAACTTGGTATTGCTTCCTTTTCTTTTCTTCATCCTCTATAAGCATTTTAAGTCTTGCAATTTCAGAATGATGTGAATCCACTTCCATTCCACTTTCTTCTAGCTGCTTTTGTAATTCTTCAATTTTTCTTTCATATATCATTTTACGATCTGATACGATTGCCATTAAATTAAAATGAATTTCTCCTTCGCTGTATTTTTTGATTCGTTTTTCAATGATGGGCCTCACAACATCAAGCCAATCTCCTTTTTGAGGGATTGCCCCATGATCAATGGGACCAGTTTTAAGGCCATCAAGCTCATATAATCTACCATCAATGGGTATATAACTTACAAAATGGTAAACATTATCATCTTTTGATGGCATTTTAGAATCAAATTCGAATAAGGTTTGTCTTCCGAATGAATTGTGTACTCTCCTAATAGTTTCAGAATTAGATAAGGCAAGTCCTTTAATGTGAGCATTAAAAGAATGACAAAAATCTTTAAATTCAGTCAATGTTGGTCCCAGTGAAATATCAGGATGATTGGTGTTTAATAAAATACTTAAAATAGCTTGAGTAGCACAAGCATTATTTATTACTTGCATGGCAAAAAATATTTTATCGAGTCTATTATCAGCAATGATTGTACCGGAAGGCTCAGTATCATTGAACCATTTAAAAAGAAAAATTAATCCATGCACTGGTCTGAAAAAAAAAAAATTTAATGATAAAATTTTTAATGGTTTTTATTATTTAACAAATAATAATGTCTAAATATAAAAATTAATGCATATATACATACTTCAGTTCATCGAAAAATTCAGCATCTAAACTCCATAGCTCTTCAACTTGTGCCCCAGTCACTCCTATAAAAAAATTGAATAAAAAAAATTAAAAAAATATAAAAAAGAATTAAAATTAACTAATACACTAATGTACTTATTGAAAATAAAGAACCAGAGTAATTTTCAATAGAAGCTAAGTGTTTAAATGTAAATTATGATTTGAAAACTTCAACAAAGTAGTTTTCAGATAAGGGTGGTGTTAATTATATAACTAGTAAAAATTATGATTGTGACGGAAACCGTAAAATTTTAAAATTTACCAAATTCTCTAATGAGTTCTGTGAAAACGCCCGGATCCGATTCAATCAGACACCAATTTCCAGCACTTTCAGCCATTTTTGTATATTGAAAACGTGAATTTAGTAAATTTTCTATCCGCTTATTTGCTTTTTTTTGTATCCAGCTTTTCGATATATCGAATATATCGATTTACGTCTTACTCTGTTTATTCCTTGAAAGTCAGACTATTCAAACGTAAATAAACAAATGTCACTTAACGTTGAAAATAGATGCGATATACGAGGTCGACGTTCGTAAGTTAAAAAAACACTTGCTCTCAAAGTTTTTATTTTAAAATTTTTAATTTGTAGTTTTTTTTTTTTATCTTTGTACCTTTTAAATGGAAAAGTAATCATTCAGAATAAACTGACTTGGGCATTTAGTAAAATTAGAAAAGTCAAATTGACAACATGGATTTTTGAATGTATACTTTTTTGTTTTATTATTCTTTAGATTTATTATGGATGGTTTTAATCGATTACCCAATAATGAAGACCCAAGATTTAGATTTAGATCAGTATTTCATCAATCTTCTCCATCTCATTCATTACGACAAGAAGACTTGACATCATCACAGGTAGTAATTTTAAATGTTTAAAAAATGTAATTAAAATCATATTACATTCGATCCCACTCATATTATTATGTTATAAATAAATTTTTAATTTAAATTAAAACATATTATTTGAAATTTTATTTTTATTTTATTTTAATGTTTTATTAATTTTTTTTTAAATGTAATCAGTAAAAACATTCGAGCTTTATAACTGTGTTGCAAGCAGCATGGATCTTTAGAATATAATGGGTTCAATATGATGTACCCTCCATTTCCTCCCTACCCTTTGCAGCCACAGCCTGCTTTTCAACTCCTGCCCTTGCCAATTAGTTATCCAACACCTAATAATTTTCTTCAAGTAAGTATTTTTAATGTATTTGGGCTCTTAAATAATTAATGATTTTTAATTCACATGAACAAATTTTTATTTAGGAAATTCCTTACAATGCAAGGCCTAATCAAATTTTTAATAAAGGATTAGGTACTGTAATGGGAGCTAGTGCATATCACCACAAGAACCAATTTACAGATTGTTCGTTATCAGCCAATACTGATGAACTTGTCGCTAGAATTGGAGCAACTTTTCCAACCGTCAGCGAAACTCATATTAAATGTCTTTTAAAAAAGTATGTCAAAATCATTTTATTTTAAATAAAATTTATACTAACATGTACTAATTCTACGAAAGCTCATCATCGTAGTTTACTAACAAAATTTTTCAGTAAAAGTATTGTGAAAATTATAGGTACCACAATAGAGAGGCAGTTGTTATGAGTGCTTTACAAGTTGAAAAACATCCTATAGCAACACCTGGTCCCTATTCAACACTTTTATTATCTAAAGCCCCAAGTGTACCTGGATCCTGTACTCCTTATCAAATGACTCCCCCATTAAGTATAAGAGGAACACCATCGTTGAGTATAAGAAGCAACTTAACAACTCCTCCTGTCGCTCTTCAAGGAAGTATGGGAACTCCATCTTTAATTGTTTGGGGTACTCCTCCACCGAGAGGAAGTAGTCCTATGCCCAGGCCAGGTTCATCTAGCAGTTATTACAGCTCTTTAATGTATGGAGACTTCAAACCGTCTCCAAAATCTCAGACTTCTCCCAAAATGAAATTGAGGTTCTTAAAATTCATTGAAACTTATATTATTATTTTTAAAAAAAAAGTAAAACTTTATTCGATGCATTTTTAAAAAATTTTATTTTAATTAGTAGAATCTTATTTTTCTATAGAATTTTTTAAAAAATTTAAATTATCTCTTTCTTATAGAATCTCGCATGATTTGCTAAATTCTTCAAGCATGTAAACCTTATTTTTATTATTTAAACTTATAATAAATCCTGACAAAATTTAAATAAATAATTTCCTTAATATTATTATTATTATTGTCATATTTAGGTAACTTATTGAAGAATGTATCATTCCTTTGCATGAAATCAATATAAATTTTCTTTTTAATATAACTTTAATATTAGTTTTAAATTTTTAATTTTTTAGGTATTTGAAAAATGTTTTTCCCAAAGTTGAAGAAACCATTTTGTTGGACGTTTTGGCAAGTGAAAATAACAACGTAATGAAAACATCAGAGAAATTAAAAAGCATGGGATACGAAAAGAAAAATATAACAGCATCCAAACCCTCGTCGGTCGATAAAAAATCCGAAAAAGATTTATATAATAATTTAACATTGCAAAAAGAAACGGAAATTCAAAAACCCACACCACCTCCACGTATGAAATCTTTAGAAGAAAAAAGTAAAAGTAAATAAAAAAAATACTGCGTACTCTGGAAGTCATTTTTTTTTATGAAAATTTTTCCGTTGAAATTTTCTTTTTTTTGTTCGAATGTAGTGAAAGATAGATTGGCGGGTTTATACGATGACGTACCAGAAAAATTAATACAAATTGCAATAGAAAGTGTTAATTACGATGAAGAAAAAGCCCGACATTTGTTAATGCTCATGATTAACGAGGAAAAAGAAAATAAAGAAAATGAAATTTCTAAACAAAATTCGTTAAACTCCACCGATAAGGTTTGATATTAAGCCATGAAATTTGTTTTTTTTTTTTATCTAATGTATCATCTTATACACGAATGAATTTTTCTTTAGGACAAAACCGAAGCGTCCAAAGACGTGAAAAAAGACGAGGATGGAAAAAAAAAAGATGGAGGAGAAAAAAATAAAACGACAAAATGTAAAAAAGACGTAGCGAAGTAAGTATCCAAATATATTTGTGGAAAAAGGAAACCGTTATTAAAATCTAAAAAACAAAATGTTTGATTTTTGTTGTTTAGAATTTCAAGAGGAACGAGCACAACAGAAGACAAAGAATTCAAATCCATTTATTTAATGAAACCATGTGGGAGAAATAAAAATTTATGCAAGGGACCAAACGATCAATTGCTCCTGTGAGTATAAAAATTCCGTTGGAAATAATATGAAAAAAAAAAAAAAAAAAAATGGCGGAAAATTAGCTTACCTTTTTTATATCAAATATCCTTTTTCAGTTCTGATTACATGACGTGGAACGGACCGGATCCGGAATTGAGATCTGAAAAGGGTAAAAGTTTAGCAAAAGGACCGAATAAAAATTTACTTCTCACGGAAAATAAAACCGTTGCTCAAGGTCGAAATAAAAACATTTGCAAAGGACCGAATCCGACTTTGGTTAAAGGAAGCAAATACTCTCAAATAATGGCGGCATTTAAATGGTGAAATTTTTAACCGTCATTCGAACGCCCGCAAATAACGTTCCAAGTCGTAACAGTCTAGTCCAGTCTAGTCCAAAACAAGACATTAATATATATATTTATATGATTAATTAAAAGTTTTATTTATTTTTATAGAATTTTTATGAAAATCTGTGGAAAAATTAATAATAATAATAATTTTTTTTTAAATTTTGATTTATTTATGATCGAATGAATCGTATTATGTTAAATTAATATTATTATTATGTATTCAAGTTTAATTAACATTATTATTATTATTATTATCATTAAATTATCGATTTTAACGTCCATTACTTGGTAAACATGTATCGATATTGTATTTTTTTTTTGTATTATAAATAATTCGAGATTTTTAAACAAAAATTTGTCGATAAAATTATGGAATTTATATATATGTGTGATTATGATAAAAATTTTGTGATAAAAAATTAATTACATCATTTAAATAATAATAATAATTGATATTTTAATAATATTTTAATGTTTTACTCCTAAAATACTGTTAATTATATATTGAATAAAAATTTCAATAATAAATATATATCGAATCTTATGAAAGCATTTTTGAATGTGTTTAAAAAATGTCTTGTTTTTTTTTAACATTAAGTTGTGATGTTTGTCTATGTGAATAAAATTTTTATGAAAGTATTTAGTTATATGTAATTAAAAAAACTTTATGGTAACTTAAAGAAACAATAAAAAAAAAATTTAATTTACAGTTTTGAAAAAAAAAAGAAATTATTTATTTTATCCTAATCGATATAAATTTTTATATAAAAGAAATTTGCTTACCTTATTATTAATTGTTTTTGATATAATAACGGTTAAAAGCACTTAAATGAACTCACATCATCTTTGTCACGTTGTCCATAAAAAATAAAGTTATTTATAACTGAAATTTTTCAACTAAACTTCATCTTCATTAATTAACATATTCGGTATTCCATCACTTATTGGAAATTTTCTACCAGTTTCTGGACAAATCAATTCTCCTTCCATAACTTCAACTTCTAAAAGCACATGGTGTACTTTTTTTAAAAAATCTTCATTATTTTCATAATCAGGAGCTGGTTCTGGTGGTAATTCTCCTAAATGACCGATACTTTGAGCTGTGTTGTACAAAGCATTCCAATCAAGTTTTGGAATCATTCTAGATATAAATTCTGGATTAAATTCAATATCTAAAACTTTTATATTCCTTGCCTGAAACATTGTTTCTTTTTAATCATCATCTCCATTATCGTATAATTACAATAATTGTGAAATAATTTTTAACTTACGTTAACTTGTAATGGATATCCAGTAACAACATTAACTAAACATTTTGATGTTAACATATTATGCGTTAATAATTTCATTATTATTATTAATAATATATTTTATAAATTAAAATTTTAAATAAAAAAAAATTGTTGTGGGGCAGTTACATTTAAAACCACCATTTAGTTTCGTTACATTGGCAGCGTGAGTTTATAAATTTTTTTTTTTTTTTTTTTTTTGACATATTATAAAAATAATTTTTTTATTTTAAAAAAGTACTTTGATTATGAATTCGCCCCAAGAATCAGGTTTTAGAGCTTTTCAAGGTACTGATTGTGGATGGTCTTCTTGCTGTAGAAATTCAACTCATTATCATTGTAGAACTTGCGGTTATGGAACAAGTCAGGTTAAAAATTCTATTACTTGTTCTTGTTGTCATTTATTTTACTGCCAAAAAAAATTAAAATAATTAAATTGTTTTTTTTATAAAAAATAATAATTGCAAAAAAATTTTTTTTTTTTTCAGACTGCAAACATCACAAGTCACAGGAGGATATGTTTTTCTTACACAGATCTTCATCAAAAAGAATTCCCTAAGTTATCTTCTTCAACGGATTCAAGTTTAATGCAACATGAAGTTCATCAAACAACCCAACCTTATTATTATTCTTCTATTAGTCCAACACTACCTGTTCCACCTCAATCGAACAATTCATCAAGTTCAAATGTCAAATTACTCTCAAATCAGTCTGGTGCAATGTTTAACTTTGTAATTCCTCCACAAAATTCACAGTACAGTTCAATTTATGGAACACAAACTGTCTTTCCTAATTCCAATTTGTTCTCCCCATCAAGTTTTAATAGTTTCAATCAAATTGATTCACCTTGGTTACCACAAAATAGATTCATACCACCAGGTGTACATTCATCTAATTCGACATCTGACTTGTTAGGAAGCGGAAAAAGTCCTTTTGATAAAATTGAAGCATCAAATTCTCCTTCTTGTTTTGGGAGAATGAGTAGTATTGAAACTACTACTACTATAGGAATGTGTTCTCCTCTCACAGCTGAAGCATATAAAGTAGTTTCTAAAGAATTTCAAACAAAATTAGATTCTCAAAGTTGGTATTGTAGTCCATCAAATGCTTTGAACTATAACAGTCAATCTTCATCATCATGTAAATTTAGCGAAACTTCCCCATCATGCTCTGTTAGTTTATTATTACTGGAATCAAATGATCAAAAACAAAATCAAGACTATTCAAATGATGATAATTTAACTTTTGAATCATCAAGAAATGATGTTAAAACTAATTTAAATAAGGAAAATACAAAAAATTATACTTCTTGCATGAATATGCCCAGACAAGATCTTGATGTTTATAAAAATGAATTAGAAGAAAAGAAAAATTCATCGCAATCGATAAATTTAAGTTCAAGTAATAAAGAAAATGTTGAATTTGAATCACTTTCTACATCAGAAGAAAGTGACATAATTGTTGAAGAATCTGATTCTGAAAATGTTAATTCTACAAGCGATTTAGAAAGTGATGTTAAAATGGTTATATCGTCAAAATGTTTAGTTTGTAATAAATCTTCTTCTGTTGATTCAGAAAATGATTTTGTCAAAATTAGTAAAGAAATGCCTGTAACAACATCAACTCAAGTTTCAATTTTAAGCAAACTTTCACAAGTAATTAACGATGAAAATTTTAAAAAGTTGAAAGGTTGCATTATATGCCCGAGGTGTTTAAATTTAATTAATGTGGTCGATCAACTGGAAATAAAATTAAAATCGGCTAAGAAAGAATTGGTCGACATCTATAAGTCTAAAAATTCAACCAATGATATATCTGATCAAAAAATCGAACAACAATCTTCTGATGAATTAATAAAAAAAAAATTATTTTGTGATGTTTGCAATAAACAATTTTCTACTATTAATTATTTAGAAAAACATAAACAATGTCACACTAAAGTATTCAGTTATTATTGTGAATATTGTGGTAAAGGTTTTGCAGTTTTACAAACTCTTCAAAACCACATTTCTCTTCATTCCAATTCCTCAAGGTTTCAATGTGAACTTTGCGGTAAAAGATTTATACAAAAAAATAATTTGACTGATCACATAAAAAAGCACAAAGGTGAATATAAATACAAATGTGGGATTTGTAACAAAGGATTTATAAGAAGAAGTGTACTTAAAACACACATGTTGTCTCACAATTCTGATTCATTGATGTGCCAACATTGTGGAAAGCAATTTAAAAATTTAGCAAATTTATCGGTTCATATAAAAATATGTTCGGGAGATTTAAAATTTGACTGCATAAAATGTGATAAAAAATTTCCAATCAAATCATTACTTAAAAAACATATTTCAATTAGGCATAATTCAGAATTTCATTTTGTTTGCAACATTTGTAAAAAGGGTTTTGCAAAAAAATCAGATTTAAAAACTCACATGAATTCGCATTCAGAAAACAGACCATTTAAATGTTCTAAATGTAATTGCTGTTACAAGAGTTTGAGTAATTTGAATCAGCATTTAAAAGTTCATTCCGTTTATGGAGTATTGGAGTGCAAAGTTTGCGGCAAAAAATTTACAAGGCAAGATTGTTTGAATGATCATTTGAATCAGCACACTGGAAATAAACCGTACAAATGCACAACCTGTTGGAAAACTTTTGCAAACAGAATAAATTTTAACATACATGTTAAAAGGCATAATGGAACTCTTAAACAAACTCCTTGTCCCATCTGTGGTAAATTATTTACAAAAGGTTTAAAAGATCATTTAACATCACATTCTGGACAAAAACCATATTCTTGTAAACATTGTACTGCAGTGTTTACTGTGAAAAGTAGTCTCAATAAACATATTAAAGTAAAGCACAATAATTTGTAATAATTAAATGACTGATTATTGTTACTAAAAAAAGTAAAAAAAAATATTATAGCCATCGATAATAAAAATGAAAAAAAAATAAAAGAAAATTCAAAATGTTTCAAACGAGTATAAAAATAAATTGCATTATAAATGATACCTATATATGTAATTTGTGAGTGATGATCAAACATATAAAAAAATATAATTTAAATTAAATTAATATTATCTTTTTATTGAGTGTCCATTTCTTCCTCACTACATTCATTATCATTATCATCATCACCATCATCATTTTTGTCCTCTTCATCCTCTTCGTCATCATCATCATCATCATCATCATCACTATCTGATTCAGATTGTATCCATTCTTGATTGGCTGCTTCATCAGATAAAAGAATTTTCCATTCATCTAATTTGTGCAAATCTATAATAAAAAATTTTATTTAGTTTCAGTTGTCGTTGATATAAAGAACATTAAAGCATGCATAAAATAATTATGCCTTGTGCCTACCTAAAGAATACATATCAGCTAAAGTATATTGTTTGTCATCATCTTCAACTAATCCACCATATAAAAATAAATTTCCATTTTTAACAATTAAACCAGAGTTCATTCTAGGAGATGGTGAAAATATATTCGCTTTATTATTAACTGTTTTTAAGTCGGTAGCACTTTCACCAGAAGATAGAGAAGGACCAACTGTCATTGTAAAAACTCCATCTGTAACAGTTGTAATTTTTTGTTCTTCCTCGACCTCTTCCATAGGCTCAACTTCTTCAACTTCATCAGTTTCCTCTGAATTAGTTTTTTCTTTTCTTCTTTTTTTTTTAACATCTGAATCTTTTTTTCCTAAAAGAGTACCTAAAAAAATTTTTTTTCAAATTATAAAATTGGTAACAAATTACAATCATTAAAAAATTTTAAAAAGTAATCAAGTCAAACCTGGTTTCCATGTTCTTCTTTCTAAATCTAAAACATTAAAATCATTGAGAAATGTTCCACAAATGTCTTCTTCACTTTCCTCTTCATCTACCACTCCACCAAATGTGTAAGCTTTATTATTCGGCCCGACAGCTATCGAACAACCTGATCTAGGTGTAGGAACGATTCCGCCTTGTTTAAGGGAAACCCATTTCCACTTTTTTCCAGTTGTATCATTTTCTAAAAATCAAAATAAAAATAAATTATTTTATTTTAAAAAATTCAATGAGCTTGTAATAAAATTTAATTAATACCTAGATTTATTAAAAAAAAAAAATTATTTACTATCAGGGCTCAGAAGAAACATGTCGGTATGAACAACACCTTTATCCACATCTTTTTTAACTTTTTCCTTGCTGTAACCCCCTGTTATTAAAATTTTACCATCAGCCAAAGGTACCATTTGACATCCAGATCTTGGTGCTGGAGGATTACCTTTATATATTAAACATTCAGAAATTTAGTAGCTTTCATGAGTTGTACAGTTCACATAAATTAATTTTTTTATAAATTACCTGAAGGTTCTATTTTGGACCATTTGTAATCATCTAAATTGAACACATAAACATCATTAAAATATTTATAATCCCTCAGGTTATCATGATAACCCCCAAAAATTATAATTTGATTTTTAAAGTGAACCATTCTATGACCGCTTCTAGCTGATGGGCCATCAGTAGAAATTTTTTCCCATTTTTTATCACCTAAATGAAATACCCATAAATCTTTATAATGGTAAAATTGATTCTGTGTGGAACTTGTAAATTCTCCACCAAATAACCACAACTGTCCTTTTTCTTTTGCTAAAGAAATCATTTGATGCCCGCATCTTGGAGGAGGTGCATTTGGCGCTTGAATTACCATCCATTCATTTTTACTGATATTGTAATTTAAAAGATCGTTGTAGACTACAGTCTGCAAATAAATTAACAATTAATGACTGCTTTAAAACTAGATTTAAAATCCCGAAAAACAGGAAAAAAAAATTTACTTTTTGCCCATTAAAATATTCGCCTCCGAATAAAAATAATTCTTCTTTCAATGGATGAGCAACAAAAGAAAAATTTACACGTCTTGTAGGTTTATCAATTTGAATTTCTTTAATTTGAACTTTTTTCTTTTCTTCTTCTTCTATTTGTGCTAAAATTTTTTCAATGTCATCCTGAAAATATCATTTACAATTTACAACAGATTTTTATCATGTATATGGAATTATGGAAAAGTGGAACATAACCAAAACTTGTTAAAAATCATGCTTTACCTCTCCAATTTTAGCCAGATATTTTTTTTGCTTGGCACTTAATTTTTTTTCTGTTTTCATTGCAGTTTTTTCTATTCCCCTTCCCTTTTTTTTGTCCTTTTTACCCATTTTTTAAATTAAGTAATTTTAAAATAAATACAAAAAAAACATTGAATGGCTATACTACATATAAGCGATTTATAATAAGCGATTTTAACATAAAAACGTTTAACCACCGCCTTTTCGAATTAAAATTTTTTTAGTTAGGTACGGGATTAAAAAATTTGACTGGTTGTATGTGAAAGAAAGTTTTTTCATTTTTAATTTTATTTAATTTTACATCATAAATGTTAAAACCGGGTTCGTATAAAACATTTTAAAAAGTTATACAAATCGATAAATCCATTATATGCATTTACCAACCGCCACAACCCTTACATTTAAAATAATGTTTAATGTTATAGGGAAGAAAGTTCTAGAATGTTACGGAAGGCGTCAAGTATAATAAAAAATTACTTCCGATTATGGATTTACAAACGGAAAAGCCGGACGCTGTTTTTTTATATCCTTAACAAAGTCCTCGTCGTCGTTGAAAAAAAAACAAGTAATTTTTTTCTTTTTTTTGGTTTCCATTCACTGATTTTAAAAAATGCTTTTTATAATCATAATAAAGTTCCCTTTTATAGAAAAGGAAGCACAATTTTTCACGCCTTTATAAAAGCTTTTTAGTCTTGTAGATGACACGAGTAATTTATTTTTTATTTATTTCAAAATGGCGGTTATTCATATAGCTTGTTTTTTTTTTTAGAATCAAAAAATTCAAATTCTTTTTCTATTGTTCATTAATTTAAGTACAACAATTGAAAATAATAATTGTAAATTTATATCGCATAAATCTACACACACACAGATATAAATTATATACATATAATTATGAAATTACATATCATAAAAGTTATATGTATACACATATACAAAAATTTCAGTTAAAAAAATTAATGTATGAATTTCCCCCCCCCCCACTTTGTACAAAAACTTGAAAATTTATATTTTATTTTTTAAAATCAACAATATTTGTAATATAAAATTTGTTTGTACAAAGTTTTTTAAAATCTTAAACAAAAAAAAAAAAGTGTAAGAATAAGTAAACAGAATATAAAGTAAAGTTAAACATAATTTTAAATAAGGGAAAAAGTTAAACTAAGGATATTTATAAAATTTATTCATAAAATTATAAAATGGCCTTCCCAAAAAAAAAATAGTAAAAAAACAAGAAAAAGTAAAAGTAATAATAATAATAAACGTTATAAAGTTTTATTATAATCATCATCATCATTATTATGAAAAAAATCAATAAGTGAATAAAATAACAATAATAGAAAAATAAAATAAAAAAAATAAGGTTCAAACAATAAAAAAAAAAACTTATTCAAACAGTAAAATTACATAAAGAAAAAAAAGTAAATGGTTTTAGTATTGATGTAAAAAAAGGAAAAAAAGGAAAAAAAAGTTTTTTTTTTTAAAACTTTTTCCTTTTTTCCTTTTTTTTTTTTTTGATTTCGTTCGTATCTCTTATTCCTCGCATAATATTTTTCTTGTTTTACTTAATCCAAAATCTTTTTTAACCACATAAACAATAAATCATGAAGCTAATTTTTCGGAAAGAGAAAAAAATATAAGAAGGAGGGAAGGAAAAGAAAAAAAAAAGTTAAACCCTCTTAATTTGGTTAAATTTTATTTACTCGAACCCTCTCCCCTATCCCCCCCTCCTTATACACATTTAAAAAAATATATATAACTTTTTTTTCTTTTTTTTTTTTTTTCATTTGGTAAATAATTTGATTTTTATTACTTTTTTTCTTTATAAAACAATAATGTGACTAAATAATAATAATAATAATAATAATTCGGATTTATTTTTATTTTATCTAACGGAAAAGTTTATCGTTACTGATATAAATATTATCGATAAGAGATGGTGAATTGATTTTAATACTTTATGAAAGATGATGATGATGATGATGAAATAGAAGTAAAACTTTTAACTAACTTTATAACATTATTATTACCTAATAATATCATCATAAAAACATTTTTATTAAATTTGAGTTCACAACCCCCTCCCTCGTCTTATAAACAATGTCCAAAAACTTTATTTAATTTAAATAGAAATGATGTAATAACGGGTAGACAAGAAAACAGTGGTGACAAAATTTCAATTTGTCTTATTTAATTATTACAAAACATTTAATAAACTTAAAAAGGGAATAAGAAGAAGAAGAAGAAACAAATAGTAGAGGAGAATAAAGAAAACGAGATATTGGAAGAAGGGCAACTTGCAGCTTATGATAGCAAAGCCCAATCTCAGAAGAAATTAAAAGGCAAATGGGAACCGGAAAAGCTGTATGGGCAATACCTAAAAAGAGTAAAGCCTTCAGACATTAATAAGAAGAGCAATTGGCTACAGCGGGGGAAATTAAGGATTAAAAGGGAAGCGTTTATTACAGCGGCTCAAGATCAGGCATTGCGGACCCATAACTATGAGAAAGTAATTCTCAAAGTCTGCCAAGACAATATGTGCCAAATTTCCGGTTGTTCCATATTGGCAAAACATGAATACTTAGAAAGGCACATAAAATATGTCAATATCTTCATTAGAATATATGCCGAGAATATGGAATGGATGGATTACCCAAAGAGTAGTACAACCACATTCTGAGCCCGTTACAGTAGGACCATGCACAGTCTGTACGATCAACAAATCCACACTGACAGAACTGTGCCAGCCAACAAACCGGATATCATCCTCAGGCACAATGTGGAAAAATGGTGTAAACTAATTGAAGTATCCGTACCGGCGGGAAAAAGGCTAAAATAGCCAGAATGTGGAGAGTAAAGACAGAAACTATTCATCGTCGGAGCAGCACTGGGAGCCATGCCAAACTCAAGGATAGGAAATTTAAAGAAAATTTTGAAGAATTTAAAATAAGAAATCGTACAGGAAATCGCACTATGTGAGACGACCTTGATTCTTCGAAAAATTTTATAAATAGCATCATTGATATTCAAGAATTTATTTCTAAGAAAACAGGTAGAAACCTGGAATAAATGCTTAAAAATCCCGACAAATAAAATAAATAATAATAATAATAATAAAATTTCGAGACAATTTAGTTAAATAATTACGTGTAAACAAATCTATATATATATATTTATACATATTTATAAAAATCATACATAAAAAATCACAAAATTAAATCAAAAAACAAAAAAAAAAAAATTAATATTAATAATAATAATTATTATTATGAAATTGAAAAGGAAATTTTAAATAACGGTTTTGGGGGGGAGGAAG